ACCCCCCTCACCCTCGTCCCCGGCGTCCGCAACCGCCACGACGACTTCGTCGCCTCCCTCGCCCTCCAAGCCGACTTCATCCTCGCCAACGGCCGCTACCTCCCCTGGCACCGCTACTACCTCCACTACTACGAACAAGCCCTCCGCACCACCTGCGGCTACACCCACGCCCTCCCCTACTGGGACTGGACCCTCTCCTACAAGGACCCGCGCCTCGCCCCCGTCTTCGACGGCTCCCCGTGGTCCCTCGGCAGCAACGGCTTGTACATCCCCGACCGCGCCCCCATCACCATCCCCATCCCCAACGGCCCAACCCTCGTACACAACCCCGGCACCGGCGGCGGGTGCATCTCCGGCCCGTTCGGCCCCGCCACGGGCTGGTCCGCCAACTTTGGTCCCCGCGGCGTCCCGGTGCGCGGACCCGGCGACGGGTGGGGGTATAACCCGCGCTGCGTCACGCGCGATCTGAGTCTGCAGTACGCGTCGGACATGCGGCCGACGAACGTCACCCGGCTCATTGACGGGTGCGGGGTCAGCTTCCCGTGCTTTCTGGCGCAGTTGGACGTCCTCGGGGGGCTGCACTCGTCGGGGCATTTCATTGTGGGCGGGACCCAGCACGATATCTTTACGGGGGCGGCGGATCCGGCGTTTTGGTTGCATGTGGCGCAGATTGACCGGCTGTGGGCGGTTTGGCAGGCGCAGGACCTGGCGGGGAGGGAGTTGGCGGTGACCGGGACGGTTACGAGTGCGAATTGTGAGTTGTTTGGGTGGTTGATGGCCTGACTTGATGTCCCATGTTGAAGGGCAGTTGCTGACGAGTTGCAGTCCCCCCGAGCGCGAACGCTACGCTGGACACGACCTTGACGTTTCCAAATATTGGGGCTGAGAGGGTCATCCGGGATGCGGCGTCGACGGTTGATGGCGAGCTTTGCTATATTTACGAGTAAGGGGGCCGGGTTGGGAGAGAGGCGGAGTTTGGGTTCTGGCTTGAAGCGATTTCCACTCCACTTACTTCTGTCTTTCCCCAGATGAGAAGACAACATTTGTACATGGGTTTCCGTTCTTGTATAAATTTCAACGGGACTTTTTTCTCGGCATCTCAAAGGCTCTCAAAGTTGACTCCGTTCGAAAACCTGAAGTTGAACTCCAAAAGTTCAAACTCTAAAAGTTGAACACCAAAAGTTGAACTCCATCAGCGGATCCAGACACCAAACCCACTCCAAAGTGGATGTCGCAAAAAAGGAGAAGCCAAAAAAGATGGTATGTCAGAATCTCCCCCACTTAGGATTGAACTAAGAACCTCCAGATTAACAGTCTGACGCGCTAGCCAGTTGCGCCATGGGGGATTTGATTGAATGTTTTTTCGCTTCTCGTATCATGCCTCTTGTGGCTGGCCGTCAAGCCTTTTCTCTGTCCCCGTTCAGATGAGTCCAAGACCCCGACACCCGAATCCCCCCCTCACCAGTTCGACATGTTGTTGTCATCATCGCCACTGCAGCTTCCCATCCTCGCTACAGCAATGCACTCGTCAGCTGATGTTACCGACAGACGCCTCAAACTAAGTCCCCTTACACCTGGGGCACTGGGTGACGGGAGGGACATGAGAAAAGAAACCACTTACCAAGCGTACACCGATTATCCGTATAATGTCCATTCACATAGCACCCATAATCTCTCAGATAATGCCACCCACTTGACCCCCGTCAGCGCGCACCCGACCCGACCATCCCCCGGGAAAACACGACATACCAGTTCACCGCCCCCCCGACCGTCACGCACTCCCTGTTCCTCCCGTTGTACACGCACCAGAACGAGTACGTCCGCCCCCGCGTCAGCTTGAGCTTGACCCCGTGCTTGGTCGACGGCCCGCCGCGGCAGTTGACCGTCGATGACCCGCCGACGATGGCGCAGCTCTGCGGCCGCGAGATGGCGCGGATGTCGAGGGGCTCGGCGGCCGCGTCGGTGCCGTTGGCGGGGCTCGGGTTCGGGGCGGCGCCGGCGAGGGCGAAGAGGATGGGGAGGACGGTGAACTTCATTTTGTCGTGGCTGGGGGGTTCGATTCCGGGGGCTGCACTGGGAGGGTGTCGAGGGATGTGGAATATGTTGAGCCGCACTGCGCGTCGAGGGACGTCGGTTTGGTCGTGGATTTAAGGGACGGGACCCCTAATTTGATGCCCCACAACGGGTCAACAACCCGCCGCCGGCTCCAGTGTCTTACACGGGATCGTGGCCAATCATGGGGTAGGAGGAGGCTGGATGCAGGGACGAGGTGGTATCCTGCCCCGGTTTTAGGCTGGGCGGGGATCTATTTTCATGGGGGAGAATCCTTCGGGGACGATCGGTCGTCTGGGGAAGGGCTCGGTGATGGATGGGGTCGCCAGCTCGTTGGGGAGGGCTCTGATGGAGACAGGGATGGGTCTGGTTGGAGACATGTTGACATGCTCTCCGAAGATGTTGGCAATGTTGGCTGACAGCGAGGTGGGGGAGACGAAAGTATTGTGGAGGGGACACAACCAAGGCAAGGGGGAGAGAAGATTTCTGGCTTTATCAAGCGTGCTTTTGTCAGTCGATCTTTCATCGCGCAGGTGGGAAGGTGATGAGAGACGATTGTCAATTCGTCAAATCCAATGCCAAAGGCTCCTTGGCAAATGGTCAGAGAATGGATGGCGTTGAGACGAAAGTAATATACAGAGAGGTCAAGCTTGAAGCCTCTGTTCCATCGAGATATCCGTACCAAAGCCCAGCAGAACTGAGCCTTCCCAAACATTCACATCTTTCTTCCAACCACTGCCCAAGCTGTGCCTGTGCTCCCATTCCAACATCCTGCCGCCCAGCTCCTTGTCTCCTTAGCTCCAAATCACAAACCATGAAAATACTCGTAAACTGATGTCCGGGTCGGCGATGCGGGCTCCTCAGGACGCGGCTCAGAGGGCGGATGAAGATTAAACGACGGCTCGCCACTCGCCACCGGAATCCTGTTCCTGAACCGCCTGATGTTATCTGTCAACGGATCCCACACGCCCACTACCATCAGCCAGTGGTTAACACGCGTCGGCGCCCACTGGACACTTGTCGACAGCCCTCCATCACGCACCGCTTCAGCGACACCCTCGCGCGTGCCGCCATTGTCGGGCAACCAAGCATAGATGGCGCCGTCCAGACCGAAGCACAGCTTGTCGCTCAGGGGATCATTCCAGCGGGGGTGCATTAAATTGGCGGACCACTGCCGCACAATGGGAATGATGCGGGGTGGTTGGATCTCGCTGAACCTGTTGATCCATTTGTAGATCTCGTGCGGTATCCCCCTTGGACCGGGGGGCATGCCGGGGAGTGGCGGCGGTGCGGGGAGTGGCGGCGGTGCAGGGAGTGGCGGCGGTGCAGGGAGTGGCGCGGGTGCAACGGATGGCGATGCGGCGGCGGCGGCGGCGGCGTCGGCGTCGGCGGCAGCCTTGAGAGCGGCCTTTTTCATGCTGGCCCTCTTCTTCCGACTCTTCCGACTCTTCCTCTTACCACGGGACCTGACCTGGCTGTCCGGGTTTGCCAATGCGGCAGCAGCTGGTTGTGCGGGCGGGAGCGAGGGCAGTGCAGATGGTTCTGCTGGGGAAGCGGGTCGCCCAGACCCAGGCGGGGGATCTGGCATCGCGGGCGTGCGCTGACTGGCACTCTCATCGGATGCGGGAATGGGCTCGGGAGACGCGGATGGGGGCCGGGAGTGTGCGCCGTTGCGGTCCGGAGTCTTGGAGCTGGGAGCATCCTCTTGGGCCGCACCATCTGTCGTGGTGTTCTCGGACAGGGGAAAGACCGGGAGGTCTTGCTCCTCCACGGCATCCAAGTCTTCTTCTTTGGCGGCCGGCTTGTCCTTGGGCAAAGACTCGGAGCTGACCTCGATGTCAGGCTCGGTCTTGATGCCCGAAGGCCCAGACCCGACATCTTGGCCAGGCTCAACATCTACGCCAGGCTCGGTCTTGTTGGGAGGCTCGGCACCCTGCCCAGTGGCCTCAACGGTCGGCGCTGCTTGGTTGGCTGCGATCCCGGGGCCATTGCGCTTGCCCTTGTCAGGGCTGCCCGGGGTACGCTGCCGTTTCAGGGTCGGAGTATTCGCCATCTTGACTGGTGAAATGAAACATTGGTCAGCAGAGACTCGTGCGAAAATGCCAGATGGTTCTTGTAGATGAGGGGTGGGGGATGGAGGATCCAGGATGGAGATTGAAGAGGGAAGATTGAAGAGGGAAGATGGAAGAGGGAAGATGGGGTTGAAGATTTACTGACGACGAAGGGTTCGAGATTGATGGCGCGGTTGTTCAACTCCGAGTGAAAAGAAAAAAGAAATAGAGAGGCGAAAAATCAAACAACGTGCGTCGTTGAAGAAGCTGGGAGCGCGTGTTCTGATTCAAGAAGTTGGGAGTGGCGGGACGAAGGTTGGCGGGAAGGGTTGGTGGGAGAAATATTGGCGAGGGAAAGGTATTGGGAAAAGGTTTGGTGGGAGAAAGTTTGGGCAAGAATCAGGTTGTTGGCGAGGCAGGGCGGGAAATAATTTCGCAGATATTGTCGGCCACAAATTGGAGGGGTAGAGATGTCCTCCAACAAACAGGATCTTGAAGGCAACGGGGACAGATCTCGCAGCAGACTGATGACATGGCCTTTTTCGAGATTTCGTCCCCCCAAAGGCAATTGGGAACCAATTCGCAGTTGCCCCTGAAGAAAGTAAACAAACACCAAATTCTCAATTCCGGCTTGGTGGTCGTTGCAACCAGCGAGAAATAATTTCTGTGATCTTCATGAGAGCCTTGCTGTGCTTCTGTGAAAACATCAATTCCAAATCAGATCTCCGCGTCGTCAAGAAGGACCTGGGGTTGCTGCCCAGCGGTGGGTGGTGGCGGGGTCTGGTATTGACATGGGATGGAAAGGCTGACCAGAAGGCCCACCTGCAGCAACAGTGCCTGGGTAGGTAGATAGGCCAGACTTTCGAACCCCCTTCCAATGAAAAAGGCTTGCGGAGTGATGAGCGGTGGTGTAATGGGTAAGCACGTGGGTTTGGACTAGTACTAGTTTGGACACCCCGAGGTTCTCGGTTCGAATCCGGGCCCCTTCACAGGTTTCACTTGGTCTTTGACCCGACTGGCCATGATAGTTACCTCTTTGTCCGTGCTTAGAGTATCGAAACAACCCCCGTTAGGTGCAGGAGCGGTCAAGATACTCGGCGAGACGAGTCACAAGCATTCTTTTTTGCTGCCATTTTGGCGAGGCCTTTTGTTTTGCCATCTTTCTACACTCAATTGGCGACAGCCCTCTGGAGTTTTTTCGTCATGGCGTCAGCAGGGTCACCAGCGAATCCATCCACGTCGACAAGTACCTGCCATGAATTTGTTCCCACCATGAAGCTGTCACGTTGCTCGATCCCCTCCCCTGCGTCTTGTCATGGCATTCAGTGCCTTCGTCTTCCCCGACCATGTCCCTGCAAACCAGGGAATTTCAATGTGTTTTCCGCACCGAGCTCAATCAGCATCCCAGAGGAAGGCATTCCCAACGACATATCACCAGACCAGGTCTCGAAGGATGGCAAAACCCATCATTCGCGTCAGCCTGTTGACATTTCTCTCATCAGCCAAGATTAACACCAAGCTCGCCGCACAAGACGAATCATATGTGATCGCACATGGCCAAAATCCCCGGGATGGGGCTTGTCCCCCCCTCCGTGTTGACATCATCCTCCCCGCCCCCCCCCTCGTTTCTACCCTGGGAGGATCTTGTCGTAGGCGTAACTGTTTAATGGACAGCTGCGAATGGTGCTCTTATCCTCAATTGGCGTTCTTGTCGTTGTCGCTGTCGTCGTCGATGACGACGGCCCGCTCGGGGATGTTGGCAGGGCCGCCACTGGCCATGTCCCTGATCTGCTTATGCGCTCATCGAAGCGCATCCTTCGCAAGGCCATGGTTCTGGGTGCAGTTACCGCAGATCTGCCCACCCATGTCGCCCATGGCGTATTGGTTCAGGGTGTCGACGAGGAGAGCATCGACAATGTGCTCAGGAAACGCCTGCGAGTACCCAATGTCCAACTATTCAATGGAAGCGGGGGTGACCAACGTCACGCGCAGCAAGGTCAATGTTTTTCATAAAGAATCTGGGCGTCTCCTAGACCTCTTTCCAGACTTCACCGACTGTCGAACGCTAGTCCGACCGAGCTGAAGTACTCCTGAAAGCACTCCTTGGCGAGTGCGGTGTTGGGCCTGGGACCGCTGTGAAGGAATATAAGGGGCCAGTGAACTCAGAGTCCACGGATACCTAGAGTAAGATGTCTATGCCCTCTCTCCTCCTACTCCAAAACCCTCTCGTTCACCTCCCTCTTGTTCGTGTTGTGTCGTAAGACCGTATCGGTCTTCTTGGCCTTCCTGTAGGTAGGCGAATCTTCGCCCACAAAAGGCGATGCCGGCCACGGGTTAGGTTGGGTCCCAGACCTTGGTGTCTCTCCGAGGGCGGAAACATATCTCTTGCTCGACTTTATGCCTGGTTGCGACTCTAGTACTCGATGCCGCCCTTGCATGTACCTCGGCCTCTCCCAGAGCGCGTTGGAGGCGTAGATCTGTAATAGTTATTTACATGAGTACTTAAAGTTATATTTCGATGTATTTTTATTCGACATACCTTGCATAAAACGGCCAGGCCGGGGAAATTCCATCGGCGAATTGTCGGTTTCATCCTCCATCTTGACATTGTCATCCATTTGGACGTCCTCCTCTCCGCCACTACCAGCACTTCTGCCCTGGGAGAACATGGAAGCAGGCGTATCAGCCTCGTACGCGGAATGTGAGGCCGATGCCTCCCTGCGTGTAATGGTGCCATGATTGTCGGGAATACGGCATTCCGTTGGGTGTGTTATGGCTGTTTATTCCTATTAGTGATGCCTAGGAACGATGGAGTAATACATACCATCCGTGACAAGTGGAATCGAATTCGTCCCCCTCTGCAGCTATCCAAGAACAGCGGCAAGAAGAAATAGGGCACTGCCTTGGTCAAGTCCCCGTCTCGGATTTCCTTCCTCAAGGGAGACCAGAACGGGGCAAGAATGGAGGAAGGGTTCGTGTTTGGGAGATTCACGTTTGCAGGTATCGCGACCCAACCAAGTACGATTCTGCCACACTTGCGACGCTTTGTTTCCCCCACGTCGATGTCAAACTGTGGGTAGCCAGTCCTCCCTACCCTGGTGGTGCTCGATCGTGGCCGGAGGTGTTCTTCAATCTCTGGGATCTTTTCATCAAGCTCGAAGTTGCTCCTGAGGGCCCCGAAGGATGGCTTCATCATCGCGTGCTGGACGAGGGGGGCTCGGTTCTCCAACTGCCTTTTCTTGCGGAAGAAGTGCTTTGTCCCTCGACGGGGGCTTTTGGGTGTCATCCTCGTCGTCGTTGGTTGATCTGAGGGCTGGATGACGAGGTTGGAGAAAGTGAAGTTGAGGAAGTGGTCGTAGAGTGATGCTCTGGTGGTGACAGTCGTCGTAGAACGGTTTCTTTGCGCAGTCGTGAAATTTGGGGAGGTGGTATTTTTGGCGATGCGCAGTTGAGAAGGATTTGTGGACGAGGTCTCAAGTCCAGTTGTTGGCGACTCGGATCTGAGAAAAAGATTGGGGGGTCGAGGGGTTGTCGGCGATGCCCTGCTGGAAAACACTCGGGGATGGCTCTTCGGGAAAGGGCGAGCCAGTGCACCGCATTGTCTGCCCCAAAGACAATCGCGCTGTTTCGCCATCCGCGCCATCCTCCCACAACAACTCATCGTCTGAGCCAAAATATGCAGTATATGGTCAAATACACGATGCATTTACTATATTATTCAGTATCCAGAACTCTTATGCCATGCAACAAGTTCTCTCTCCCAAATGTTGAGTGGTGAAGAATGTAAACACGCCCCTGATCTTATCGATAAGCGATCCGGTCGCCATCACGACGAGCAGCCGCGACAGCATTAATCGTGGTTATCGCATACAAATGGGACATGGCCAGATTGCCCAGAGACTTCCATCTCCTGCATCTCGAATTTCCGGCCGATGAAGCAGTCAATGACCACAGATAAGAACTATATAAATTGAACCCCAGTATCACACCTCGACATGAGATGCCAAGAAGAAAACAACATCGCTCGAACTCGCCAAAACTCCAACCCGCTGTTGAAGATTCCTGCTTCCTTGCCGCCTGGTCCAACAGACCCAATGGTCCAAACCTGCCAAATATCCCCCCTCACGCCACCTTCGTCTTGACCTTCCGATACCGAATCACCTCCACCCCGTCGTCATCCATCACCCTCTCCGACACAATCTTGTGCCCCCTCACCGCCGGCCAGAACTTTGTCCACAGCGTCCAGTACACCACGCCAAGCAGCAGCACCGCGACGCCCACCACCGGGAAGACATAGTACGGATACCCGTCCGCGTTCCAGTCGCCCGTCGGCGGGATGAACGGCACAATGACCAAGAAGACATTGCACGCCAGGAACAGCAGGATGATCGGCAGATACGTGTGCCACCCCGACGTCCACCTCTCCGCCTTGCGGTAGTGCAACCAGATCAGCCCGGCGGCGACGAAGCTGTTGATCCACGCGCCGGGGTACGTGTACAGGTTGACGATGAAGTTGTAGGCGGGGCCGGGCGGGGGCGCCAGCAGGACGATGATAGTTACGAGCCAGTGGAGGAAGAGCTACAGTCACGAATATTGTCAGTCGGCACAACTGTGATGCGGAGGGGAGGGACATACCGCCGCAGCAGGCGAGTTGAACGGCTTGTTGCTCCCCCACAGCCGACTCAGCGGAAGCAGGCCCTCCTTGCCCAACTCTTGATTGAGGCGCGCGTGGGCGAAGCTAACAGCCAGGACGTTGCCGAGGTTGCTCAGCGCGACAAAGACGGGGAGGACCTTGACGCCGGCGCTGTCGCCAAACACGTTCTTGAAGAAGACGGCCGCGACGATGGCGTCGGACGTCGCGAGCTCCGACTTGGGGATGGCGGCAAAGTACGCGACGTTGGCGAGCACGTACAGGATCGTCACGCCGCCGACGGCCAGCGGCGCGGCGATGGTCAGCGTGCGCCGCGGGTCGCGGATCTCGCCGAGCACGTAGTTGGCATTCTCCCAGCCCTTGTAGCTGTAGACGATGTTGAGGAGGGCGTTGGAGTACTCGTAGGCGCCGCCGCCGCCGTAGCCCTCGCCGCTTTCGATGCGGAAGGCGTTCTTGAAGTTCTCCGGGTCCGGGACCTTGCGGTGGCCGGCCAGGGCCGCGAAGCCGGAGCAGACGATGAAGATCAGGACGATGACCTTGAACACGCCGAGGACGTTGAACAGGCGGATACCCCACTTGGGCGCGACAGCGTGGAGGACGACGGAGAAGGTGGCGCAGGCGACGCCGATGGCGCGACCCTTGTACGTGTCCTTGAGTTCGTTGCCGGCGGCGTACATGATGAAGCGGCCAAAGGCGAGGGCGTTGCCCGAGGAGAAGCCGAGGAGGATCATCTGCGAGGCGAGCACGCACGTGGCCAGATACTTGGGGTGCCGGTAGACGTGCTCGAGGTAGTTCTTTTCGCCGCCGGACCGGGGGATGGCGAGGCCGTACTCGAGCCAGACGCTGAGCCCGGCAAAGGTCAGGACGCCGCCGATGAGCCATAGCATCAGGCTGATGCCGACGGAGCCCGTGGCGGCAAAGATGCTGGAGGGTGTCGAGAAGATGCCGGTTCCGATCATCTTGTTGAGGATGAGGAAGACGGCGCCGGTGATGCCCAGCTTGCGGTCGTCGGTGTAGGCATACGTGTTTTCCTCCTTGATTTCGCCGACGGGTTCAAGGCCATCCTCGGATGTCGGCAACACCTTTTGCTCCTTGACGGGGACATCGTCGCTGGCGGCCTTGTCGGAGGACACCATGATGGCTTGAGGCCAGGACCGAGGCGGGGTGAGAATAAATGGAAGTGCTGCAAATGGCGGGGCGGTACTTTTGTTGGGATTAAATGCGTGTTCGTGTTGGACAGACGCGGTGCAGATGCGTCCTACCGCCGGATCTTATCAACATCCGTATGCCATGTCGTGATCCGATCCTGGCCTCGTCACACGTCCATATTTTCACCGG